GGCGGCATCCCTGGCGAGAGAGTTGTGGCCGAAGTCATCAGGGTTCGCCGAAAATATGTGGCCGCAATAGTAGAGCAAGTCCTGGAGGCTTCTCCATCAAGAATTGATGCGCCCTGCCAGTACTATGGTGTGTGCACCGGATGTCAATGGCAGCACATGGACTACTCGGCCCAGCTCAGTGTCAAGCGCGACAAGGTACTTGATGCCCTCGAGAGAGTTGGAGGACTGAATGACGTCAAGGTACATCCCACCCTTCCCTCTCCCATTCAATACGGTTACCGGAACCACGCAAGGTTCACCGTTGGCAGAGAAGGCGACCTAGGATTCGTCAACCGGGAAACCAGAAGATTCGTCCACATCGACAACTGTATGTTGATGCACGAGGGAATCAATAGCATCCTCGGCCACCTACAGGACCGTTGCGGGGAGACAACTCAACTCGCCATACGGGCTGGGCGGGAGACCGACGAATACCTGGTGCAGCCTCCTCTGAAGAACCCTGAAATCCCCATACCCACGGGACAAAAGCACTACAAATCGAATCGGTAGGGGAACGTACATTTCGAGTGGCTTCCCCTTCTTTTTTTCAGGTCAACATTGACCAAGCCGCGCAGTTGATTGGGATAGTGCGGGAAGCGGTCAATCTCTCCGGCAGTGAAGTTCTGCTCGATGCCTACACGGGCGTAGGCACGTTTGCCATCCTTCTGACGCCCTTCGTAAAGCGGGTTTACGCCATCGAAGAATCATCCGCAGCCGTGGCTGATGCCAAGGAAAATGCAGTGGGAGCCGAAAACATCCAGTTCCTCTTGGGGAAGACGGAGGACGTATTGGCAGACCTGCCGGAGCGCCCCGATGTGGTGATCCTCGACCCGCCCAGAGCCGGATGCCAACCGTCGGCACTCGACCACCTGGCTAAACTACGTTCACCTATGTTGGTTTACGTTTCCTGCGACCCCGAAACTCTGGCCAGGGACCTGAAACTACTCTGCGCCAACAACTATTCTATCGAACAAGTCCAACCCCTGGACATGTTCCCCCAAACCCATCACGTTGAGTGCGGGGGCCCTTTGGGGGGGGGGTGGGGGGGGTTGGCGGTTTGTTGGGGGGTGTGGTGGGGGGGTGGGAGGTCTTGGTTGTTTGTGCCCAACAAACTATTTCCTTGTGTTTTCGTGCTTGTTGTGTTTTTGTCTTTTATCTGTTGTTTTTTCTTATTTTTTTTGCTTTTTGGGTTTGCGTTGCTTTTTTGTGTCTTTGTTCTTTTTTTCGGGATTTTTTCTTTTTTTTTTTTTTTGGTAGCATCGCTGGTTGTTTGTTGTTATTTTCATTTTTTTGGTCTTTTTTTGTTTTCAGTTTTTGTCGGTCTCATCATTTTTTCTTTGCGTTTCTCTTTTTGTTGGGATTTGTTTTTCGGGGTTTTTTGTGGGGCGGGTTGGGGGGGGCGGGGGCGTTTGTTTGGGGGGGGGGTGAGGGTAGGGGGGGGGGGGGGCTGGGGTTTGGTGGTGGCGGGGGTTGGGGGGGGGTTGGGGGGGGGATCCGCTACTGCTTTTGGGCACGTATTGGTGTACCCCATTTTTTGGTTTGGTGGTCGGTTTGCTTTCTTTTTTTTTCTTCGTTTCTTCTGAGGTTTTTTGTTTGTGTGGGGGGTGATGCGGGGGGGAGCTGGGGGGCGGTCTGGGGTGGCTGGGGGGCGTGGTGCGTTTGGTTGGGAGGGTTGGGGGGTTGGGGGGGGGGGGGGTTTATTGGGTGGGGGGGGGGGGGGGGTATGAGTCTTTGGTTTGGGGGGGTGGGGGGGGGGTTGGGTTTGGGGGCGGGCGTTTGTTTGTGGGGGGGTTCGCCGCTTTCTGGGTGTTGGGGTCGGGGGGTGTTGGGTTCTTGATTCGTGGGGGCCTTATGGGTTGGGGGTTGTTTGGGGCGTGGGGGGGGGGTTGGGCGGGTTTATTTTATCGGGGGGCGGGGTGGGGGGGGGGGGTGCGGCTGGCTCTTGGGGGTGCCCCACACTCCGTTAGCGCTCGCCGGAGAGAAACCACGACCCCACGGCGCCGCGAAGTGCTGGCTCGCCGGGCGCTCCACAGACGACTGGGAGTTGCTGACCGAACTGGGCCTGCGTTTTGAGGTGACCCCCTTCAACGCCCCGGAGGAACAACTTGAAGGCGAGTCGGCCGAAGAGATGGTGCGTCGTCTTTCCAGCGACAAGGCCATGCTGGTAGCAGGTCAGCTCAAAGAGGGTTTTGTAATTGGGGCGGATAGCACGGTGGTGCTGAATGGCCGCTCCATTGGCAAGCCAGAGGACGAAGGCGACGCACGTAAGATGCTTCAACAGCTTCGGGCGACGGAACACCAGGTAACTACCGGCCTAACCGTGGTAGACGTTGCCACTGGCCTGTCTATGACCGACCACATGACACGCGGCCGAGTGACTCATCGCCGACTTTGACCGACGAGGAGATGGAAGAGTCCATCGCCTCGGGCACTCCAATGGACAAGGCCGGCGCCTATGCTGTCCAGGACACCGGCTTTAGACCAGCTACCCTGCAGGGTGGATGTTATACCAACGTGGTGGGGCTACCTCTTTGCCGGCTTATGGAGATGCTGGAAGAACTGGGCTATCCTGTGCCCTCCGACATGCCGGAGTCAGTGGGCGGGCAGTGTTTCGGACATTGCCCGTTTAAAGGATCCGAGGCGGAACAGAAATGAACCTGTTCGGCGTTGGATTCCTGGAACTGGCCCTGATATTTCTCATAGCCTTTCTGGTCATGGGCCCGGCCAAGACCATTGAGATGGCTCGCACCGCCGGAAAATTGATCGGCGATATGCGGCGCACAGTAAATGAAATGACTGCCGCTGCCGACCTTAGCGAACAACCAAAGTCAAGAACTTCTTCCACAGCGAATCCACCCTCTAAGCCGCCGGAACCTCCTCCCACGGGAGCGGTCCCCACCAGGGGAACGGGAGACGGAAATGAGCAGCAGCCGCGAACTGACCCTGATTGAGCATCTCGGTGAGCTGCGCCGACGCGTCTTCATTTGCCTCACAGCCCTCATTGTCGGGGCCGTAGTTGCTTTCTATTTCTGGACTGAACTTCTGGAATTGCTGAAGTGGCCAGCGCAGGACCTGATAAACCGGGGCGTGGTAACGCCCATCGTTACACAGGTTACCGAGAGGCTCTCTACCGCAGTAAAGATTTCCATGGTCGGCGGCTTTGTTCTGGCCTTGCCGGTGATTCTCTACCAAGTGGTCCGTTTCGTAGCGCCAGGGCTAATGCCAGGTGAGCGACGTTACCTGTTCCTGTTTATGCCCGGCGCACTGTTGGCCTTTTTCTGCGGGCTGGCCTTCGCTTACTTTGTGCTCACGCCCCGCGCCATACCTTTTCTTCTCACCTTTGGCGGAGACGTGGCGCAAACCCAGATACGTATAAGCAACCTGGTGGATGTCATGCTCAGGCTGCTCCTTTGGATGGGACTGGCCTTCGAAACACCGGTGCTAATGTATCTGCTGGCCCAGCTGGGCATTGTTAGCTCAAGGATGTTCTCAAGGTTTCGCAAGTATTGGGTGGTAATTGCCTTCATCCTGGGAGCAATTATCACTCCCACCTTTGACCCGCTTAACCAAACCCTGGTGGCCGCGCCGTTGCTGGCCTTGTATGAAATCGGCATCTTCCTGGCGTGGCTGGCCGGAAGGGCGCGCCAAAGGGAGGGAAATGAAATCGCTTCATTGCCTGAGGGGCAATAAAAAAGGGCGGTTATGCACCGCCCTCAATACCCGTCAATGCGTACTTCAGCTGATCACTTGGGTTCAGTGTTCGAATCGGATGTCTCGCTCTTCACAGTGGTCTGGTTGGATTCTTCCTCGCCGGTCACCGAACTCTTAAAGCTGCGGATCCCCTTGCCCAGTGATGATCCGATTTCAGGCAGCCTCTTGGCGCCAAAAATCAGCAGAACAATCAACAAAATAATCAGGATCTGGGGTAGCCCAATAGGCCCGAAACCCATGTCGCCTCCGAAGTTGCGCTAAGTGTGGTTTCAATCATAGCAAAACTGGCACTGGTTTAATAGTCAAGGAATAACTTGCAGTGCGCGCAATGGGTATCCCCAACCGGGTACCCCTAAAGACAAAATTTGTTCAACGCCTATTGCCAAGGTATAATCGGCCCAATTCAAATATAAAGCAGGTGAAAATGGCTGGGGAATATGATCTGGTAGTCATTGGAGCCGGTCCTGGCGGTTACGTGGCAGCGATACGGGCCGCTCAGTTGGGGTTGAAGACCGTTATTGTGGAAAGGGACGCCTTGGGCGGTGTTTGCCTGAACTGGGGCTGCATCCCCAGCAAAGCCCTTCTAAGGAATGCCGAGATTGTTTCCTACTTCAATCGCGCCGAAGAGTTCGGGCTGAAGTTCGAGAACTTCTCGGCCGATTTCACCGCAGCCATTGACCGGAGCCGCAAGGTGGTTGATCGCAACGTACGAGGCGTTAGCTACCTGTTGCGCAAGAATGAGGTCGAACACATTACTGGCGAAGCCGTCTTAAAGGGCAACGGTGTTGTAGAGGTGTCTCCCGACGGCCAACGACTCCAGGCCCGGAACATAATCATAGCTACCGGCGCCAGGCCCCGCAGTATTCCACCGCTGCCCGTTGACGGCGACAAGGTGATAACCAGCAAGGAAGCGATAGTTCTTGAAGAACTGCCCAAATCCATCGTTATCGTCGGGGGAGGAGCGATAGGCCTTGAATTCGCCTACCTTTACAGGATGTATGGTGTGGACGTAACGATAGTAGAGTTGCTGCCCCACCTGGCCCCAAATGAGGACGAGGAAATCAGCCGTCAGGTAGAACGCGCTTTCAGCCGCCACCGGATCAACATAATGACAGGCTCGAGAGTAACCGGGGTATCCGACACAAGCAACGGCCTTCAGGTTGCGGTAGCCAAAGGCGAAGCAGAAGAGAATCTGGAATGTGGCAAGGTGCTGGTGGCCATAGGAGTCCAGCCCAACAGTGAAAACCTGGGACTGGAGGCACTGGGAGTCGAGACAGACAATGGTAACGTCCAGGTGGATGACCACATGGCCACCAATGTTCCCGGCGTTCGTGCTATAGGGGACGTAACCGGCAAGCTGGCCCTGGCCCATGTGGCCTCGGCCCAGGCAACCATAGCCGTCGAAACTATCGCCGGTCTGGAACCTCAAGCCCTGGATTACTCGATGATGCCTCGGGCGACCTACTGCCAACCCCAGATTGCCAGTTTCGGCCTTACCGAAGCCCAGGCAGTGGAAGCAGGCCACGACGTTAAGATAGGCCAGTTTAACTTGCAGGCCAACGGAAAGGCCATGGGAATGGGTGAGACCGACGGTATGATCAAGCTGGTAGTTGACTCCCGCTACGGCGAAATCCTTGGCGCCCACATGGTCGGCCCGGAAGTTACCGAGTTGCTGGGTGAGCTTTCTTTGACCCGTCTGCTCGAAGGAACAACTCTTGAATTGGGCTGGCTGGTCCATGCACACCCAACTATTTCTGAGATAATTAAAGAGGCGGCGTTGGCCGCCGAAGGCCGAGCCGTCCACATGTAACGGCTCCGTGGCTGCACTGGAAGGCACAGGAGGCTGACTTGGCTACCACCATAGTGATGCCCAAAATGGGTTACGACATGCGGGAAGGCACAGTCGTACGCTGGCATAAGCAGGAGGGCGAGGAAGTAGCCCGCGGTGAAGTAATCGCCGATATCGAAACCGACAAAGCTACTGTAGAGTTCGAGGCCTTCACGGGAGGAATCCTGCACCGTCAGGTGGCCCAGGAAGGCATACCTGTTGCTGTCGGGGATGCCATCGCGGTCATCGCCGAGCCCGGCGAATCAGTTGGAGCCGCCTACTTCGAATCATCGGTCTCCGAAGAAATCCCCGAACCAGCTGTAGCTGAAACTGTCCCGGCAAAAGCCTTGGAAGCTGTGCCCGCACGGGGAGATGGCGAGGTTCGAGCGTCTCCAATTGCACGCCGACTGGCCCTAGAACGAGGTATCGACCTTGCTCTGGTAGCCGGCACAGGCCCCGGCGGAAGAATCGTGGAAAAGGACGTCCTGGAGCACAGCCCGGCAGCTGCAGACAACAACGAAATATCTAAACCCGGAGACTGGGTGAAGGCCTCACCACTGGCGCGCCGCCTCGCCCGGGAACAGGGAATTGAGCTGACAGCCATTCAGGGGTCTGGACCTGAAGGACGCGTGGTAGAAAAGGACGTTCTGGAATATGTTGCCCCTGCTGTCCCAACCACGGAACTCGCTGGAGCCCCTGGTGCAGCCCCACCCAAAGTGGCAGCCCTTGCCCAGGAAGCGGAAGCTGGAAGCCGGGTGGAACTGTCGCGCATGCGCCAAGCCATTGCCAAAGTTACGGTAGACAGCAAGCAGCAGGCTCCCCACTTCTACGTGACAGCCGAAGTTGACATGGCAAGAGCAATGACCCTGCGTCGGGAGATAAACGAAGCTCTTCCTGCCGAAGACCGTGTAAGTGTCAATGACATGGTGGTGCGGGCCTGCTCCGTAGCTTTGGGCCGCCACCCCAAGTTCAACGCCTTCTTCCGCGAAGATCATCTGCAGTTCAACGATGCCATCAATATTGGAATTGCCATTTCCCTTGAGGCTGGACTCATAGTTCCAGGGATCAGCGGCTGCGGAAACAAGTCGCTGGCGGAAATCGCTTCAGCCAGCAAAGACCTAATCACTCGGGCTAATAGCGGCTCGCTGCGCAACGAGGAATACAGCGGTACCACCTTCAGCATCAGTAATCTGGGAATGTTCGACGTGGACAGTTTCGCAGCGATAATTTTTCCGCCCCATGCCGCAGTCCTGGCCGTTGGTACCGTAAAAGAGCAGCCGGTAGTGCGGGAAGGGCAGCTAGCCGTTGGCCAGGTCATGAAGGCCACTCTGTCCACCGACCACCGTGTGGCCGACGGCGCCGAAGCCGCTCGCTTCCTGGTCGAAGTAAAGAGTCTCCTGGAACAGCCTATCAGCCTTCTCCTGTAGTTGACAGGTGCGTTTTTGAATTCGCCTTTACTCCAGCGCCACTGCTTATGCTCTAGCCGCCGAATCGCTCACGCCCAAGTTGCCGTAAGGAACCAGTCCCATGACTTCATCGCAGGCAGCCGCATACTCTCCTCGGGTTTACCCGCTGGATGCCCATAAGCTGACAGAGGAGGAAATAGCGGTCGCTTTTGCCATGACCTCCCGAAGGCCCGAGCCCTTTGACGAGATAGCGGACCAAGTCAGCCAGGAGAAGGCAGCCGACTTCCACGAACGCTGGGTGCTGGGTTACGGTCATGCTTCGGTGGCTGAGCACGCCGTAGTCCATTTGGCGGTGGAGAACATTTCCCGGATGGCCTGCGACACCCTCGAAGACAACCGACTGGCTTCCTATACCGAAAAGTCCTCCCGTTATCAGGTAATGCCCCAGGACTACTACCATGTCCCTTCGGAGCTGGACGGCAACCAGCAAGCCCGCACCGCATACATTTCCGCGGCCAGGGGGCTATTTGACAGTTACCATCGCCTGCTTGACGCCTGCATGGAATATTTGCGCCGCGCCGATGCGCAAAGGGAGCAGGAGAGAGATGGAGCCTACAACCTGCGCTTGCGCCGTATGGCCACTGACAGTTGCCGGGCAGTTTTGCCTGCGGCCACTCTCACCAACGTGGGCGTAACCGCAAACGCCCGGGTGCTGGAACATGCCATATCCAAGCTGATGTCATCAGGCTTGTCGGAAGAGCGGGACTTGGGGGAGCAAATGCGGGAGCAGGGACGCCAGATTACCCCCACCCTCATAAAATATGCGAACCGGAACAAGTTCCTGGAGGCGTCGCTTCAAAGGGACTGGCAGCTGGGCTTACCGATTGATGAACTTTCATCCGGCTCACCGTCAATCACCGTCCGGCTGGTCCAACTCGACCCACTTGCAGAAGAAAGGTTGGCAGCAGCCCTTCTTTTCAGACAATCGTCGTTGGATTACGAGAGTGTTTGGTTACAGGCCACGGAAATGAGCCAGGATGATCGATTGGGCTTGATCGAAGGCTTCATGGGCCACCTTGGCGACCATGATGCTCCCTTGAGGGAGTTCGAACTGGTGGATTACGTCTTCGAGTTCGTGATGGAGTACGGGGCATATCGGGAGTTCAAGCGTCACCGGATGCAATCATATTTTCATCAGGCCTTGACTCCTGACTTGGGCTTCAAAGTGCCTGAACTCTTGATGAAAGCCGGACTTGGAACTGAGTTCCAGTCGGCAATGGACCTTTCGGTACGGGGCTACCGGCAAGTGGCACAGTATTCTCCGTTGGCAGCCCAATACCTCGTAACGCACGGACACTATCGCCGAGTTCTTGCCAAGATCAACCTGCGGGAATGCTATCATCTGTTCAAGTTGAGGTCATCAGGACAGGCCCACGAGTCAGTACGTGAACCTGTAATAGAAGCAATGCGTCTGGCCGTGGAAGCACACCCCCAGCTCTTTCGCTGGCTAAGGCTGCGGGAGTTCCCGGAGTGGTGGCCTTTCAATAGTTAACCCGACCACTCCAAATTGGCAAAAGGTAGGGCCCTCGTTTAAGCGAGGGCCCGTCGTTAGTACCGTGTATTAAACAGAGAGGCGTTTAACTAGACGCCCACTCCCCGCTGGGTCTTCATGAAGTCTTCCAGAGCTTCCTGATAGTCCGGGCTGGGGAATCGCTCGCCATTCCTTACCTTCATACCGTCAGTGAATATCTCCAGCCTGTTGCCGTCGGGGTCACTGAAGTAGAAGGACCGGCTTCCGCTGCCGTAAATGTTATTGTCGCTCTCGATGCCGTGAGTGGTGGGCCCGTTAAGGATCTTGACACCCTTGGTGTGCAGGTGGGCGAGGGCCCTCATAAACTCGTCCCGGTCCTCTACCTGGAATGCTATTTGCTGCACCAACCGGGCGTTGGCGGGGATTGCATCAGAGACGTCTACTCCTGCAGGCGCAGCGGCGATAACTACATCATGGTGTGTCTCGTCGAACCTGAGGAAAGCAGTCTCACTGCCGTCGGGACGCTTCCGGTGATTGGTTACCTGGAGGCCCAATACCTCGGTGTAAAACTTGAAGGAACGCTCGAAGTCGGAAACCAGGATACCCACATGGCCTATACCCTTGATGTTAATACCCATAGCACATATCTCCTTTACGAATTCAGCAACATTCCTTTTCCCACAAGCTTGACTAACTTCCTTTTCCCAATCTTGTTTCACGCATGCCGGAAACCTTGGCACAAGTATAGCAAAAGGCCAGCGAAGGTCAAATAGTCTCTTAAGAAGTCAAGAATTGAAAGATGGCTAGGGGTCCGAGCAGTCGCGGGTAAATCCGCAATTGGGGCAGCGAATCTTGCACTGGCGCTGGATCATTTGGGTGCCGCAAATTTCACAGGTTAGGTCATCACCACCGGTTCGCGACCGATGACCTAGAAACTTGCTGGAACTAAACTCGGTTACAGAGGGCATGGTAAATACCATCCTGGACTGGCTTATCTGGCGCCTGGCGAAATTATCCTGGTCTGCAACACCATTTCTCCGCCGTTACCATCCCCGGTGAAGGGTTCGTCAACTGTCAGGTTCATCCAGTCAAACCCGTAGAGACTTTCCGGTGGATTGAGCGCCATGGTTCCCCAGCCTGATGAGTCCACCGAAATTTGTCCCACGGGCAACTCCTGGCCGTTCCTCGACAGCCAAACCTGGTATTCCTGTGGAGGCTGGGGCTGGTCCATGTTGGCAAGCATGAGAATTGCCTTTTGCCCATCCGCGGTCACCAGCAGAACTCCTTCCGAGTCACTCCTGCCGTCAGTGGGTCGCAAAAGGAGTGGCTGCGTAAACGGTCTGGCCATCAGATAGCTGGTTTCCATAACCTGCTGCAAGCTCGCGTTGGTGTACTGCCCATCCTCAGCCAATTGCCTGATGCCGGCGCTTGCTGCCGACTGCCCATCTTCCAGTACGGCCAGCCTGGCGTTAGTAGCCGCACGTTCCTCTTCCAAAGAATTCAGTCGACTGGTGGTGACCACATTCAAAATCAGGGAAGCCGAAAGCAAACCAACCACCAGTGTCGCCGCCAATGGCATTGCGAAGCTACTAAGCGTAAAGCGTGGTGCGGGCTCTGACTTTGCAGCTCCAGACATTGTGTGGGTAGAAGACGGCGAAAACACCCGGGGCAGGACTTCCACTGCCTCCATTATGCTGGCCCGCAACTGGGCCGGAGGAGCGAATTGGGGCACGGTCTGGGCAAAGAGCGCGGACGTTTCCTCCCAGCCTTTTAGCCCCCGCAGACAGCTCTCGCAAGACTCCAGGTGAGCCTCGAACCAGTCCCGCTCTTCCTCTTCAAGGGAGCCCAGGACGTAAGCGTCAAATAAGTCCTCCGGGTGCTCCGAAGGATATAAAGAATGCTGGTTACTCAACGTCATTCTGTCGAAGTTCTTCCCTAAGTTTCTGAAGAGCCAAACGCGCTCTGGTCTTGATGGTACCCAATGGTTGTCCCAATTTCGCCGCGATTTCAGATTGGGACAACCCATTGAAATAGGACATGACTATTACTTCCTGCTGGGCAGGGGGAAGCTTGTCCAACGCCTCTCGAACCCTTTCGGCTTCCAAGTTCCGTACCACTGCTTCGTCGGTTGCTATCTGAGCGGATGGGAGCAAGTCCAGGGTCTCGTATTCGTGAGGATCAGACAGGGCAGCCGACCGCTTCCTGGACCGTATAATGTCAATAATTTGGTGGTGGGCTACGCTCATTATCCAGGTCTTTGGCTGCCCCCGCGAAGTGCTATAGCTGGCAGCCTTGAGCCAGATCTTCAGGAAAATGTCCTGGGTAGCCTCTTCCGCCACGGCCTCCGAGCGCAACATGTACCTGGCCAGCGAAAAAACAGCCGATGAATACCGCTCATAAATGGTCTCCAAGGCGTCCTTTTCACCGGCAGCGATCCGATTCAACAGTTCCTGGTCCTCCAGGATCTGGTCTTCAGTCACCCCTACTCTCCCGCTGCCCGGAGTCAACAGGCCTTTCGTCCAAGTATACGTTAGCTGTTACCATTTGGATTGCCCAATGAGAAAACAACGGAGGCCTAATCTTCTGGGCGCTGTGCCTGGAGGAGTCTATCTATTAGGCTGTTGGCGGCGGCAATGTCCTGCTCGTCACTGGACTGCCGTATCAGGGATTGCAGAGTCCCAATCGCCAAGTCCCTCTTTCCCATCTTTACCTGGCAGGACGCCAACTCTTTGTACAAGGAACCATTGGACTCGTCAATCAAAAGCATTCGTTCCAACACGGAAGCCAGTTGGTCCAGGTTTCTCCCGTGGGAATAGATGTGCCTTAAGTTGTTGAGCATGCGGGCCAGCACCATCTTGCTTGAAGTTGGCGCCAGGAAACTGTCATTCCATTCTATACCCTGACCCAACATGGACTGGGCAAGGCGGCGGCAGTCACTTGCTGAAAGCAGCTGCCCAGAGTGGTACGGATCCATATAGAGGTCCAATTCCTGGACATTCACCAGAAAGTGACCGGGCATACCTACTCCATAGCATTTCAAACCCAGGCGTTTTGCAACCCCCAAGTACAAGACAGAAAGAGTAATCGGAATGCCAACCTTGGTGTCCATGACACGGTTCAGAAAACTGTTTTCACGATTGTAGTAATCACTGGAATTTCCGGAATAGCCCTCCGCTTCAAACAGGTAGTGATTCAATTCGCGGGCAATGTCCCCCGGATCGGCTGTCGTCCCAGCTTGAGACCTGACACTCCCCGCTATCTTATCCAAACGGGCCAAATACTCTTCCACATCCAGATCTGGAAATTCTTCACCGGCCAGACAAAGCGCGGCCTTTTGCAGGTCCATTTCGTTGTCGGGAAGGGAAATCTGCTGGGCGAAAAGGGTCCGAAAATCAAACTGTGCGAATTCAGGCATTGACACGTGGCCTTTCCAAAGTAGCCGACTATACTACCAAACTGTCGAGAACCACCGAAAGAAGTGGAGTGTCCTCCGCGTTCCACAGGAGATCCAGCGCATCTGAGCACTGCTGATCTGAAAGAACAGAAGAGGCCAGGTTACAAAACTTTTCGCCAACTTCTCTGTCACTCAGGGCATTTTCCTTGTGGCCTTTTGGAAATGACGTGGAAGCGACCTTGCTGGTCCCGTCTGACGATTCGATCTCTATCCGGCAGTTGTATTGCTGCGGATATTTCTCCGTGAATCCGGGACCCTCGCTCATGGTCATCTTGGCCATTAGCGCCCTCAAGGACGGATCTGCGATGCGCCGGGGTGTAAAGCTCCCCGGCGTAACCGCTCCATCCTGCAGCGCCATGGCAACCAGGAAAGGGATGCTGTGATCGGCAGTTTCCCTGGTTTGCGGGTCCCATTTTTCGGGTTCACTGGCCGGGCTGCTCACCCCGGACTTATAAATTGCGATACTGATAGACTCTACCGCCGCCAAATCCACCTGGGGTCGTAGCTCCACCGCGAGGCCGATTGGGGCCTGCGTGTGTATCTGAGAAGGGTAAAATTTGAACGTAGAATCGTTGATCAAAAAATTTTGGCCGTCGCTTCCGAAACGGTCAAGGGTAACCTTTTCAGTAACCCCTGCTTGTTCCCAAAGCCCGCGCCTTCCCTCGAAGGGTTCGCCTGGGCCAGACATGCCTACGGCGGCCAATTGGGCGGCGAAAACGCCGGCCCGGGTGGCGCTGGCTGTGGCGCAACCCTTCCACATGGATAGTTCTCCGGTCCGCGTGACGCCCAGGGGCAGGTTAGGAGCGAGGGCCAGAGAAATGGCATTGCCGAGTTCGTCCTCGTTTAGGCCCATCAATGCTCCAGCCGCGCAGGTCGCGCCCACGATGCTGAACATTCCCTGGTCCCAACCCAAGTCGCCACTAACGACCTGGTCAGACAGTCGGCAGAACACCTCGTAAGCCAGCGCAATAGCCGCGATTAACGAATGTCCGTCCCGGTCATACGCATCTCCTACTGACAACACTGCAGCAATCATGTCGCTGGGGTGGCCGCCACCGGGAGTGAAGTATGAATCGTTGCAGTCCAGATAGCGAATCATACATCCATTAGCAAATGCGGACATATCCAGAGAGCTGTAATCATTAGTGCCCAGCACCCTTGCCGCCGGGTTTCCCGTGACGGCGCCGGCCAAGCCACGAGCAATTTTGGCTGGTTCAGAGATATAGCCGCCCATAGCGCACCCCAACGTATCTATCAGGGTGCGCTTGACCTGGTGTATTGTGGCCGAGTCCAGGTCCTCGTAGGTCAACTGAGCTGAATAACTGCTCAATAGCCTAGTGGTCTTATCCATTGAATTCTCCGCTTCGGGTCTGCCTCACCTGGGGCTTCATAGCTGAATTGGCAGGGGCCTAGTTGTCTGCCGCCTGTGCCTGCCCAACCCGGGCCGTCAGTTCGTCATAGTGGTCTCCGGCTTGCGAGACCAACAGTTCAACGTCTTCACCCAGAACGTAGCCTTGCCGGGCCAACTCTTCGGCCGATTCCCGGATTTTATCCAGATAGTCTTCTCTGGAAGCGTACCTTTCCTCTATTGAAAGCCGGGGGTCGCCTGAATTTTCCCTTTCAGCGCGGGTTGCCGGGAAGGGAATTGTAGAACCGGCCAGGGTCCCCCCCGTTGCTCCTCCTGAGGACAGAATCTGCCCCTCACCGCCAATTTCCGCGTGGCGCAAGTTCCAGCCAGTGTGGGTAGCCAAGGGCACCATAGCCAGCGGCAACCGGATTCCCGCCTGCTCATTGCAATCCTCGTCAACGGAGGGCACTAACAGAGGGTAGGGTTCACCCACAATCACAGGCACATTGGTGGCGACACCAGGCTCGGGACCAAAGTCCAACCGATTAAAGCGGCGCATCGGTTCCGGAGTGTTTACTCCCGGAATCCTTTTTAACGCCGCCGAAACATTCTCAGGGTCCGCCGCAGTACCATTGTCCAACCGAGGGTATTGGCTGGCAGGGGCTTCGGCGCCATCGGTGACCCAGCGGTCCAGGTTTAAGAGGGCAGCCCGCAACAAGGGGCGATAATCGAGGCAATTGAAGGGTTGTTGACCCCGGCTGCCGTTGCCAGGATCACTGTCCCGCAGATAAGACGTGCCCAGGGGGTGCTGGGCTCCGCCAAAGTGATATACGCGCACTTCGTCAGGAATCTCCATATCCTTCGTCCCTGACAAATCGATATGAACCAATGCGCCGCCGCCGCCCCAATACTCAGAGGAAGTATAGGTGTACATAATCATGGGCAGCGGGCCCTGGGCTGCGGAGCGCACCAATACGCCGTCCGTCTCACCTGTCACCGGGTCGGTTTGCTCTAAATCGCTATAGGGAAAGAGATTGTTGGGACTGCGACTGGCCTGGCTGGAAGGTTGGGCGAACCGCTGGTTGAACTCGCCATGCTTGGCTCCGGCTACATGAGGGATAAGGCCGTCGAATACTCTGCGGCCTTGTTCATCATAATTGAGTCCGTAGTAAAGGAGGTCCCTCAAAAACCTTCCGCTCTGAGACGAGCCAAAACTGTAAGCGTACTCCAGGTTGGCGGCGCAAGGGTTACCATCGGCCTCTGCGCCATGCCGGAGGAAGGAAGCCAGTTCCCTGGTTGCCAGAAGGCCTGTCCCCACTATCGGTGCTCCCGTAGTGGAATAAATGACCTGGTAAACTTTGCCTGGCTCGAATCCGGAAGCTTTGTATACATATCCCGCATCCGGAACAACCTGACCATTGCCCTCACGGGCAAATCTCCATTCCTCCCTGGGAATGACCTGCTCTGGCCCATCCTCACTCTCCTGGACAGTCATCACCGAATCCCAGTCCTCCAGGTTGTTTGCGGGATAAGGGCGGTGATTGCGGTCTGACAAGAACTGTTGCTTTATTGGCTCGTTGGGAACAAAGGTAACGACCAGCTTGCCAGTGATCCTGCTGCCATCGGGATTCCGTGCTTCCGGAGGGTAGAGGCGAAGGACTCCCGGCACGTCAGGGGCATCGTGCTGCCAACCGCACCAAGCCACGGTATAACCCTGGCGCATCAAGAACCCGTTGCCAGCCTGCAAGGGCTCGTCGGGGGCCAGATCCGGAGCATTGTTGAAGTTCCGCAGACAGGGGCCACGACCACGATTGAGTATGTCGAAGAAAAGCCTGCCGTTGCCTTTTTCCTGGTCGACCGGCTTCAGGATGCGAAAATCCGAATAGAAATGGATTTCCCCCGTGTTGCTTCGGGGCGCCAGTCTGAGGTCCGCAACCCTTTCGTTAACCGGATTAACCGGGTCAACGGTAAAATATACGGTGCCGTCCAGTTGTTCATAAGGTCCCACGTCGCCAAACGATTCCCCATTGGCAAAAGGTTTCCGGGAGGTAATTTCCAGCCTGCCTACTGACATTTCCTGCCTCCTTTAGCTCACGAAAGCTCCATTTTGATAATCGTCGGAAAGTGTTTCAACCTGGCGGCCCTCTCCCAAAAGGCTTGAGGGATGGGTCGCTAAGTGGGGAACTACCGCTGAAATTAGCTTTGGAAAAGTTTACAGAATTCCACTGGTATCAACATCCAGGTCCGTTGGGGCTTCGTCACCGGTAAAGTCCAGCCACCAACGCCCAAATTCGACCTCTCCGTACTTATCCCTCAGCCTAGCCAAGTGGGCTTTAACCTGGATTAACACAGGCAGTTCGTATTCTGTCACCAACTTGTAAGTTCGGGTGGCCCACTCCAAAGCGCCGCTCAAGTTGTCCTGTTCCTCAGCCACCATACCCAACTGGCCATAGGTACGGGCTAGTCGCTGGACATCGCCCAAGTTTTCGAAGATTTCCCGTGCCTGATGGTACCAATTCTCGGCCTGGTCATAGAGTTTTTGTTCGTGGAACAGCACCCCCAGTTGGCGGCATTCATCCCCTGCCCCGCGGCGGTCGCCCAAGTCCTCCCGCCTTTCCAATGCAGCCAGATACCACTCCTCAGCCTCTTCGTACACAATGCCCCGGTCTTGTTCCAGCAGCCCCAGGAAGTGCAGTTCTGTGGCCAACTGAGCCGTATTGCCCTGCCGATCGCTCAGGCTTAGCGCCTGCTGGTACCAGGACTTGGCCTCGTCGAAATTATATTGAGCGTGGGAGACGGTACCCAGCTCATGAAAAATCAGTACGGCCGTCTCCTCGTCCCGGTGCTCTTCAACCAAGTCCCTGGCTCGGTGATACCAGCTTTCCGCTTCCTTGTATTCAAACTTCAACTGGGTTACCAGGCCCAGGGCCCGGTAATCCTTGACCATTTCTTCTTCATCGGGCAGCCGCTGGTGAATATCCAGTGCCTTGCTGTACCACTCTTTAGCCTCGGTATACAGGCGCTGTTGCTGCCTTACTTGACCCAACGCAAAATAATCGTCAGCCACGGCGGAGCGGTCTTCTTCATTTTCGATAATAGCCAGCGACCGCTGGAACCAACCGGCGGCTTCGTCCAGGCGGCGCAGCAGAAGGGCAATGGCCCCGAATTGATGGTAAACGGAGGCGACCCTCGGGTCCGCTTCTGCCTCAGGAAGCTCAGTAAGGTAGTCCGATAACTGCTGGTTCAATTCCAGCGCCCGCTGAACTTCGCCTTGTTCGACCGATTCGCTGACGTCGGTACCCAACAGGTACATCCAAAGGTCGATGGCACCCGCCTCATCCGCTTCGGAAGCCGAACCACCCACAGCTTCCAAAAGCTGCGCTCGCAGCCTCCGCAACTCGGGGATTCGCCTCTGCATGCGGTATACCTGGGCCAAGGGTTGAACAATCAGCTGCGCATTGTCCCACTGGCGGGCTTCCAATGCCAGGCCCAACGCCTGGTTCAAGTTGCCCTCTTCTGCAAGCACCGCCGTTGCTCCTGAGGCCTGGTTCTCGTAGAGGGATTCCATGAAGTAATCGGCCGTGTCAGCGTAAACCCGCACGAATTCTGACTCCAAATGTCCAATGGTGTCACCACGAAGCTGACGGCCCAACTTGGAACCAAGAAATCGTGGAACTGCGGGATGAACCTGGTAAACGCTGGGAGAGATAGGTTCCAGAAAACCGGCAGCCAGACCGGAACGCAGCAGGGTTCGGCAAGCGCCCCAACCCAGTTCTTCACCCATGGCTGAGCGGTAGGCTTGTTCCTGCGTGATGTGGGTCAGGATGTCCATCATTACTCTGCGCTGGAAAAGAGCCAGGAAAGGCAAGTGAGTCCTGCTGCGGTGAGACATCTTGGACCACGAGTATTCCATCAGCGCAGTCAAATAATTGTCGCGACCGTCCTCCACTGAGCTTTCAGGAAATTCGGCGAGGCTACGTTCCAGCTCCCCGCGAATTACCGAGGCCGGCGCCTCTTTCAACAGTGGAAGGGCTACCTGGCAAGCCAAGGGATGGCCTTCCACGTCGTCAACCAATCTCACGACATCTTCGTTCACGCGATCGGGTTCCACTGCTGCATTGGCCAGGATGGCTGTCGCCAGGTCGCTTCGGTCGTACTGGTTCAAGCCGCCTAAAGTTAAACTGGAATAATGAACTGTTAACCAGTCTTCAGTTACATTCCTGCTGGTGAGGAGAACGCGGCTGGCGCCTGGGCCCGTTATGTCGGCAATAAATTGGGCCAATTCCCTTTTTTCAGGTTCCTCCAGGAGTCCTGGCGAGCCTTCGGGGAAACCGGCAATAATTTCCACGCCATCCAGTATTAGGAGGGAGGGCTGTTCCTTAAGGTAATCAACAACCCAGTCACGCTGCCTGTCCGCGCTCATTTCGGCAAATTTCAAATCAAGCAGCGAGGTTCCAATCTCGTGGACAACCCTTTCCAGGCTGGCGGAATGGGCAATTTCAAAGGGCGTATAGAATACGCCGCCGGGCAACTCCTTCCGTCCAGTTTTCTGGTACCAACGAGCCAGACCCAAGGCCAATTCGGTCTTGCCAACCCCGGTATTGCCGTTTAAGAGGACCACAGCATGGTGCTCAAGCTGCCGTTCCAGTTGGGACATTTCGGAAAGGCGCCCAACCAATCCGTATTGCCCAGCGGCGGGAAACTGGCTTTCGGCGGGAGTTTCTTCTTGCGGTTGAATCACGGGAACTCCGAGCGGGTTAGGCGCTTCTGCCTCAATAACCGGTGGGGAGTAGTGGCGCGCCTGATAGACGACCGGGGTTATCCAATCCCAGGAAACCTGTGGGCCGGCCAGAGATGTCCGGCGGGGCTGCTCCATCAGGCCGGAGCGAGATCCACCCAGGGCCACGGCCACTTCTTCACCTCTGACGAGAGTCTGATAGAAACGCCTCAGGAAGCCTTCGCCTACCGCCGGGTCGTGAAACCGGTGGGGCAAAGCGACAGTGACCGGTATGCCGGCCGCCGAAAATCTTGACGTAAGTTCGTTCCAGCCTTTGGTTACCTCGGTTCGGCGGGGTCCCCGGTCCCCGGCGCTTACCATAACTATCGGAACATCGGCTGCCAGAAGAATTTCAGCAATCTGGCCGGCGCTTACAGATTCGCCCGACGCATTCTCTGTTTCCAGCAGTATGCTTCCCTCTTCATCCAGGAAAATGCCATCAATATGGACCGCGTGATACCTGGAACTATTTTCTGCCAACATACGCTTCAAACAGTCCAGCGTAGGAGGTCGGAGAAAATCCAGTTCCACTTGCACATCCAGCGAATCCAAAACCGGAACAAGGGTTGTCGCCAAGCCGCCGGCATAGGCGCCGTCCCTGCCTTCAGAATAGGGAGAAACCATTAAGACATTGATCTGTTCCGCAGTCAGGCTCGGCTCAAAGGGAACCAACGGCAACGGGCTGGACCGGCGCACCAGGGATGATAAAGTGGAAGTCAGGAATCCTGATTCCGGAGTGTTCATCAATTCCCAGGGAACGGCAAGAAAATCAGGTCTATTGGAGACTATAGCCAGTTGATAGTTGGATAAACCTTCCGTAGCAGCGGCTACGAACATCTCCCGGTTTTCGCCGCCCCCAAAGACGAACTCGAACAGCAGACGTCCCAAATTTCTGAAACCGTTTTCAACCGTCTGGGCGCGTTCTCGGGATGCGCCAAAGGGGCTATCCAAATACTCCTGAAAGTACCAGCAAATCTCTGATCGTCCAGAATCATCCAGTGGGTTTCCAAACTGGACTGGCGGAGCTGACTTGACGCCATCATCCTCTTGAAGCACGAGCTGAAGCTGGCCGGATTCAGGCAGGTCATGAATTTCCAAACGCTTGACCAATGGTTGACTCCACAAATACCAAGATTGGGGCTGCTGGCAGACAATTATTCCGTGCCCAAACAGCAGTTTGAAAGGTTCTCAGGAATGAAATCTCTCGTTGGCGCCACATAGGGGCGCTCGCCCGCATTATACTATATTTATTCTCTGCCAAAACTAAATCCTTCATTTGGGACGAGCACCGTTACTGAATGCCCCAAAGGAAGAGGAGTTACAACCATGATCTACCTGGATGATCAGATGCGGCAACTGTTAGACAGCGCTATGGACGACCGTTGCACCTGCCTTTTGGGCACCGCGACCAAGGAGGGAAAGCCGCAAATCAGCATGAAGGGCAGTGTGATGGTGTTTGACCGGGAAACTCTGGCTTATTGGGAGCGGGCCAAGCGATCGGCCCTGGAGAATGTGGCAGAGAATCCCCACGTCGTCATCTTTTACCGCAACTCACCGCTTCGGATAACCTGGCGCTTCCACGGACGGGCCACGGTTTACGAGTCGGGGGCCATCAGAAACAACGTGATGCATCGAACGGTGCAGGCCGAACTGGACCGGGACCCGGACCGATTGGGCGCGGCGGTGCTGGTCAAGATTGACAGCATTACCGACCTGGGAGGAAACGTGCTGCAAGAAAGAGAGTGAATCCGGGGAATGTGGGAAAAGAAAACGCCAGGAAGCATCGAGGTTAAACCCGCAACCGCATGCTCCCTGGCGCTGTTGTTAAGTGCCAGATGAAACTTAGGAACCTACTCCCTAAACACCGCCAGCGCGTCTACCGCGCGAACTCCCTGCCCTTCAGGCAATACCATCAGTGGGTTGATATCCAGTTCGGAAAGAGTGCCCTCAAGCTGCGACGCCATATGGGAAACCTGCACCAACACGTCGGCCAAGGCATCAACATCTGCCGAAGGCGAACCTCTGAACCCCTTGAGCAGCCTCGAACCTTTAACTTGGTCAATCATTTCAACGGCTTCGGCCCTGCTGATCGGGCAAAGGCGCAACGCAACATCGTTATAGACTTCCACAGTCACTCCACCGGTACCGAAGAGCAGGACCGGCCCCAATTGCTGGTCGTAGGAAACACCGACAATAACCTCGACGCCTCCCGAAACCATTTCCTGCACCAGGGCCCCATTAATTGTTCCTCCGGGAGCGGCCAGGGCAGCATTTGACATAACCTCTTCAACCGCGCTTCTCACCTGCTCGGCGCTATTCAGGCCCAACCTCACCACTCCAGCTTCGGTCTTGTGCAAGATGTCCGGAGAGTCAGCCTTGACAGCTACCGGGAAACGGATACTCTCCGCTGCTGTTACCGCCGTCGCTGGGTCGCTGGCGGTTATTTCCTGCGCCACAGGCACGCCCCAGGCAGAAATGAGCCGCTTGCTCTCGTGCTCGGAGAAGGCAGTGCGCCCAAGAGCCTTCAAGCCAGCTACGGTCTGTTCCTGATCCTGGGTGATGGCCGGGCATTGCCCAAACCCATCGGTCTGGCGACTGTCCCGCCATTGGTGATAATTGAGCAAAGTACGGAGTCCAAAAGCCAGCTTGTCCGGAACATAGAAGACGGGTACTCGTGCTTCCTTCAGCCTGGACAGACCGGCAGTGGCAGATCGGGTTCCGGTCCAAAGAAACGCGAGACCCCTTTCGCTGGCATCCCGCTGGGCAATTACCTGTTCGGCCTGGGCATCGGACCCGGCGCTGGCCACGACGAGGGTGCCAATTTCGGGCTGCTCACTCATATGGCGCATAATCTCTGGAAACGAGTCGCTGTTGGCGAATCCGGTAACGTCTGAAGGATTCGCCGCCCAGCCAAAACCCTTGAGTACTTCGTTGATGCCGTCCCGTGCCTCATCGGTCAGGGGAGGCAGGTCCAGTCCGACCTGACCGCACATGTCCGCGGTTAAAGAGCTGATCCCGCCGGAATGGGACACGACGGCCACGCCGGGCTTGCCAGGTTTGCGGGTATGGGCCAAAAGTTGGGACACCTCTAGCAGTTCGTCGTAATCCTGGACCCGGGTTATTCCGTATTGTGCGAAGACCTCATCATAGAGAGCGTCCACACCAGTCAGGGCAGCGGTATGAGAGCGAGCGGCGCGGGAACCCAAGTCGGATCGGCCAATCTTGATCATTACTATGGGCTTTCCACGTTCCGCCGCCAATTTGGCCACCTCCACGAGCTTGCGGGCATCCTTGAAGCCCTCAACGAAACCCGCGATAACGCTCACCGAGTCCTGATCCAGCAGGTAGCGGGCAAAATCGCAGAAATCCAGGTCGGCCTCGTTGCCGGTGGAGATAATGTGGCTCAAACCAATACCCTCTTCCACCGCCCTGGTGAGGAAAGGGCCGAAGGCCGAGGCGCCGCTCTGGCAGACCAGTCCAATGGGGCCACTCAGCCCATCCGAACCCCTCGATGAAGCGGAGGGCCAGATGTCCGCCTGCACGTTGGCAACGCCCAGGCAGTTGGGGCCACAGATTCGAAGGCCGGTTTCCCTTGCGAAGGCTCCCACCTCCCCTTGTAGGTCCCGACGATCGTCCAGGTCCCGTTCTGAAAAGCCGGCCGATATGACGATAGCCGACTTGGCGCCCTTGGCATGGCTCTCTTCAAGCACATTCAGCACCTGGTGATAGGGCACCACGATACCAACAAGGTCTGGCGCCTCGGGAAGATCGGAGACGCTGGGGTAGGACTGTACGCCCATGATTTCGTCGTAGCGGGGGTTGACCGGATAAATGTTCACTCGGTCTTTGGCTTTCAACATAGCGTCGAGGAAGCGGCCACCGTATTGCATACGGGGAGTAGCGCCAACCACCGCGACTGATTGGGGATTGAGCATCTTGTCGATAGATGCCAGTTGGGCTTCAGTCCAGATTGCCATCGAATGCCTCACTTAGTATTCAGTTTACATAATGCAGTCAGACCGCTCTGCCGTGGGGTTTGCCCAGTCTGCAAAGGGAATATACCTAAATTTGTTGGCCCCTACAATCGGCTAAGGGATTGGCCCTCTCCCGCGGACTGCTCCTCTACTACTTACCGGTGAGCACAGCTGGGAAAAATTAAAGGAGGGCAGGTGAGCAACCTGCCCTAAAATTAGTCAGACATATAAGTCTCGGGACGGACTGCAATGCCTCAGGCCTAAGTCTCTCCGGCAGTCCTGAGGTCGGCGCGCCAGTCGTCCGGCGACGGGCCACGGTCAATAACCACGTCAATTACTGAAGGTAACCCCGATGCTTGCGCGTCTCTCAGGGCGTCGGGCAAATTGCGGGAGTCATTTACCTGAACGCCAAAGCAACCAAATCCCCGCGCGACCGCGGAGTTGTCGGTGTCGATAAACTCGGAGGCAATGCGTCGGCCTTCTGGCTGGTGGTGGCGCACCATCCCCAGGGCGTTGTCGTTGAATACTATGCAAATCATGGGGAGTTCGTACTGCATGGCAGTGGACAGGGCATTGACCGTCATCATGTAGCCGCCGTCTCCCGTAACTCCCACCACCGGGCGGTCCGGGTAAGCCAGCTTGAGGGCCACAGCAGCGGGTAATCCCCAGCCCATTCCGGCGGTGCCGCCGGGAGCAAAAAACGTATGAGCCTGGGCAGACTGGTACAAGTGAGCCATCCATGTCCGGTTGTTGCCAGCATCCAGTGCGTATACCGTGTCGTCCGGCATAGTCTGCCGCAACAGGGCAACCAAACGTTGCGGCGTTACCGGGGAAGAATCCACATGCATCGCCGGGTCGTCAAAGAAACCGGCTGAAGACCTACGTCCGGGCACACTGGCGGTCCATTCTTCGCGATTGGAAGCTGTCGATGGGGCGACTTCCTGCGAAGCCTCCACCAACTGCGTAAGAATGCTCCCGGCGTCGCCGATAAGGCCCAATTCAATGGGGAAGGTCCAGCCGGCGTTCCGCTCATCTATATCTATTTGAACTATTCGCTGGGTAAGGGGGTCGAATACATTGGGCTGCTCCCGAACGGTGTCCTGGGGGCTAAGCTTGGCGCCCACTATTATCACTGCATCAGCATCACCCACGCCCAGGTTGGCCGCCTCCTGGCCGTACACACCCGCCATGCCCAGGGACAGCGGATGGGTCTCGGCGAGGGCGCTCTTGCCCTTGTAGCTGGTGGCCACCGGCACGCCCCACATTTCCGCAAGCTGTTGTAGCTGAGCGTGGGCCCTGGCCTGGTGGACACCGTTACCGGCCATGATTATTGGTCGCTTGGCAGAAGAAAGGATTTCGATTGCCTTCTCGATATCCTGGGGAGCACTCTGAGGTTTGGCGGTGTTGAGGTAACCTGCGGCGTTGTGAATAAAAGGAGGGGACTCCACATCAACCTCACCAGAAATGGAGGCGGACCGCATTACGACCGCCGCCGGACCAGGTCGCCCGCTGGTCGCATGCTTAATTGCCAGCTGGGTTCCCAGTACAGCCTCCTTAGGGCTGGTAGCCAGCGACGTGTACTTGGTCATTGACCTAATAATGGTGGGCAGGTCGATGCTTCCGTACTCTCCCGAACCTGACTGGTTGGCCGGATGCAGGGCATTGCCCCCGTCGGAGGTATCGGTAAGCACCACCATGGGAGAACTGCTGAGCATTGACTCCATTATCCCAAAGCTGGCGTTGGAACCGATAAACAGGCCCTGACCCATCACGACAGCCGGCTTCCCGCTGGCCCGGGCATAGGCATCCGCCATAATGGCTGCGGTCTGCTCGTGCCGACACAAAATGGCTTTTATTCGATCCTCCTTGCCCACAAGAAGGTTGAAAATCTGGCCGGTGCCGCCGCCTGGGATACCAAATACGTACTCAATCCCAGCTTCTTCAAGACTTTGGACAATCAACTCGTGTGCTTGGGGCATACTTCCTCCAAAACCGCCACCGGAGAACGAATTCCCCGTAGCGGTTGTGCATAGTAGGAATGGCGAAATGGGGCAGCTTTGGAACCTCTTGTGCACCGCCCTAGGATTGGGCGGATGATAACCCGCAGGGGTAGGCGGGTCAAGCTGAATTGCCTCGACACCCATAGCCCGCTGACACCCTGTAGAACCCTCAACTAGCCTGAGCAGGCGGGATCGCAAACAAGCTGCCCGCCTGCGACTGCAGCCCTGTCTTGACAAGGTCTGACTTGGAGAGAATGTCCCCCGTTGACCCGGAAATGCCGGCAACTTAGAATCCCCACAGCACTGAAAATTAACATAATGGCGGTGTTGCTGATGCAGAGCGTAGAAATCGACCGCAGTAAGCGTCTTAAGGATGAGCCGCAAAAAGGGCACAATCGATGGCACCCCGGCATACCACCAATCCTTGAAGTGGAGCAGGGAGAAGAGGTGGTTCTCGAAACCAGGGACGCCTCCGACTGCCAAATTCAGCCAGGCATGAGTCCGGCAGATCTGGAAGGACTGGACGCCAAAGTGGCGCACCCCTTGACTGGTCCCGTCTACATAAAGGGTGCTGAGCCGGGAGACCTCTTAGAAATCGAGTATCTCGATATTGTGGCCCAGCCTCGAGGATGGACCCGGAACCGCCCTGGCGCCGGTTTCTTGCGAGATATCTTTACTGAGCCTTACCTGGCTCATTGGGAAATCAAGGACGGATGGGCTACCTCACCCCAAATACCAGGTGTCCGAATAATCGACGGTTCCTTTATGGGTACCGCCGGGATTGCGCCCTCACATACTCAGTTGGAGGCCTGGGCCGCACGCGAAGCAGACCTGGTTCGCAGAGGAGGTACCGCAGCCCCGCCGGACCCGGAAGACGCCATACCGGCCGGGGGTACCATCGCAGAAACGGGATTGCGAACGCTGCCGCCAAGGGAAAACTGCGGCAACGTGGACGCCAAGCAGTTGACCAAGGGTTCCAGGTTGCTGATTCCGGTAAACGTTGAAGGAGCCCTCTATTCCGCTGGTGACGGCCACTTTGCTCAAGGCGATTCAGAGTGCTGCATTACCGCCATAGAAATGGGTGCAACGGCCGCCGTACGTTTCAGGCTCTTGAAGGGGGAGGCGGCGCGCCACAATATTCGATTCCCCCGATATGCCCACCCGGGTTACTTTCTGCCGCCCGAATGGGCAGCCCCCCGTAACTTTATTGCGACCATGGGAATGCCGATCAGAGACGATGGGACCCAGGAGGGCGAAGCGCACCTGACGCTGGCGGCCCGTAACGCTTTGATTAACATGATCTACCTGCTTCAGGAAAGGGGATGGACCAGGGAACAGGCGTACATTATCTGCAGCGTTGCCGTGGACTTGAAAATCAGTAACATCGTGGACCTGCCAAACGTGACCGTTTCTGCATTCTTGCCCGAGGACATTTTTCAGGGTTAGAGAGAGGCTACAAACGTCAATTAAACAGGCTTCTCCTACAAGTGAACATAAACGTGTACCGAGTGTACATAAGTCTCGGAGTTTGCTCTCAGGGGCTCACTCAGAGCAGTTTTTCGGCAGCGGGCCCCTGTATACCCTGAAACCCCGCAAATCGCCTTCTGGAGCCACGAGATTGGAGGCTGATTAGACTCAATGGATGGGACTTTTCTCAAAAAGGTCAAAATAGAAAACCGCCCGTCTGGTCCGACGGGCGGTTTTTCAGTTCCTGGTTGTTTCTCTAAACAACCCTTCTCATCACATCCACCACCAAGGCATATTTTAGGAAAACTTCCTCCGGTCATATGCCAGACCAGCAGCCCGTTTAACTAACCCTCTTTACCTCCAGCGTCTCTCCCGGTGCCAGCGCTACGCGGCGTACGCTGATGCCCAACTTCAACAGCCAGTACCCGAGTGTAGCCTTACTCACACCTAATTCGTCGGCGGTCGTCGACAGTCCCTTTTCGTTAACCATCTCGGGGAGTAACCGCTCCAGCGGCCGCTGGTGTTCCTTTTCTACACGCTGCATTAGTTTGGTCTTCCTGGCCATAGTACTCCTCCTTGTCCGTGGTGAAATAGTGCTGAGTAACAGGATGTAATGAATTGTAACGACTGTTCCGGCAATAGTCAATATATTCCTATATTAAATATTATACTTTTTTAAGAAATAATTGGAACATTAAATTAGATACAAAATAAGCCAAATAGAGGTGTTTAAGACCCTTCGGGCACCGGAAATAGCCCTAATTCGGGCTCTCAGAGCAATGGATTCTTGAGGAACATGCCGCCATGATGGGCCAGAGTGGAAGTCCAGGTGGATACACGAGTGGGTCGTGGCCCTCCGTCGACTGTACGCGGGAGGCCAAGTGGGTTACACAGCGTTACACGGCAATAAATCATCAGTGTAATTCTTCGATGGTTTACATCTTTCTCAATGTCATGTGTAGTCCAACTGCATTTCCGATTGACAGAAAAATGAGGCGGTACACTAAATCCGAAGGGGCCAGGTAATTCCGGTTACTATGGAAAGGGTATAAACGCAGTGGTTAAGCACACGGTCCTGAGAGTGCAGTTCTTTACTTCTGGGGACGATGGTTTGACCATGAACTAACGCTTTGCTAGGCTGGCACCGACTAGCGAAAGAACAAGCTAATCGGAACCATAGAGAGTAGCTGAGAGGCAATATGATTCAGCCACCAACTTTGAGGGACGTATACAAAGCCAGGAAAACTATCGCCCCGTACCTGGCTCGTACTCCGCTCCACTATTCGGCCGGGTTAAGCCAGTTGTTTGGGGCGGAAGTCTATTTGAAACACGAGGAGTACCACCCTCTGGGCGCATTCAAGGTAAGAGCAGGAATCAATGTTCTTGCCAGCCTCAGCGAGGACGAAAGAAGACGCGGAATAATAACCGCTTCCACCGGCAACCACGGCCAGGCAATTGCCCATGCGTGCCAGGTGTTTGGGGCTCGCGCCCTGATTGCCATGCCCGAGAAGGATCCGAATCCAATTAAGGTCGCAGCCATGGAAGCACTCGGAGCCGAGTTGATCTATTACGGAGAAACCTTTGACGACGCAAAAGCTCACGCGGAACGACTGGTAGGGGAGGAGGGCTACCGGTACGTTCACCCCACCGAGGAACCGCTGATCATAGCTGGGGCGGGAACACAGGCTTTGGAGATAATTGAGGACTTACCCGACGTAGAAGTAATGTATTTGCCCTTGGGCGGAGGAAGCGGGGTTGCGGGCGCCTGCACGGTAGCGAATGCCATAAGCCCGGATATAAAGGTACGTGCTGTCCAAGCTGAGGGAGCCCCTGCCGGTTTTCTCTCCTGGAAACAAGGTCAACTGGTACAGGCTCCAATGGATACCTTTGCCGAAGGAATAGCCACCATGAGCGGCTACGAGCTGCCGCAACGGATTATCCGGCACAAGTTGGACGACTTTGTCCTGGTCAGCGAGGACGAGATACGGTTTGCCATTGGTTTATTGGTAGAAAAGGCTCATACGATGGCCGAGGGAGCAGGCGCAGCAGCAACGGCAGGGGCACTAAAGCAAATGTCCGACCTCAAGGGGAAGAAGGTTTCAATCACCGTTAGCGGCGGAAATACCACTGCGGCCCACCTTTCTCATGCACTGGAAGTGTACCAAGGTAATTCCTTAAAGTAACTGAATGTATATTTGGAAATCACTATTAGTGTAATGAAGTGTGCTGAGAATGTAACTTGACTAAACAGTAAATGTAATTATTCACCCTAGTCTTTCGACTCGGAAATGTATCGAGCCAGTTCATCCCTCGCAAACACGGGCATCGGTTTCTCGCCCTCGTAACCGATGGAGATCAGACCCTCTTCAGGAGCCAGCACTTGGCCTATTTCCCAACCGGTTATTCCTTCCTGCCCCAGGGCCGTTAGCAGGGCTGGGACTTCTCCTGCTGCCAGTGTGATGACGAGGCAACCTGAAGCCAGCAAACCAAACGGTTCCAGATCCAGGGCGCCACAAATGTCCCTACACTCCGGCAAGACGGGTATTGCAGTTTCTTCTATGGCCAAACCCATCCCCGAAGCCTGGGCCACTTCTTGGAGGCCAGTTATCAGGCCACCTTCCGTGGGGTCATGTAACGAATGTACACTAGCTACGGAGCAGGCGATTCTTGCGTCCCTTAGTACGCTAATACCCGGCATGTACAGATATTGCTTGGCTGTTTCAATGGTACTTTGTGGAACGCCTGCTCTCAGTAACTCTCTTTCCCTCTCACGAGCAAGAACCGCCGTACCCTCGATGGCAATCCCCTTTGTAATGACGATGCTATCCCCTTCCTGGGCTCCTCCCGTAGTTATGAGTTGGCCCCTCTCTACCTCACCAAGCATTGCTCCCATCACAATGGGCCGATCTATTCCATATGTAACTTCGCTGTGTCCTCCAATTAGTGCAACGCCTATTGCATTGCACGCTTGAAGTACTTGGTCATATATTGCTTCAGCTTCAGCTTCGGTGTAAGTTGTGGGTAACAGCAGGGTTGCCAGGAACCATTTGGGTACACCGCCAGTACACGCCAGATCATTGGCATTTACCTGAACCGAATACCAACCTATATCCTCGGTCGCAAAGGTAATTGGGTCGCTTTTTGCTACCAGCAGACTGTTTCCCATATCTACGACTGCAGCATCCTCGCCCACCTTTGGACCCAGTAATACTCGCGGATCGTTTATTCCCTCTTTAGCCAACAGCCTTCTGAGTAACTCTGGAGGGAACTTCCCAACATCCAATGCGATTCACCGCCTGTATGAGATCGGTCAACTGACGACAGTGTAGCAGAGGCAATAGCTTCATTGAGCAGCCTGGACTAAACATAAACTTGGTGAATCGCTTCTCTAGTTCGGCCCGATATTTGCGTTCCCTCAGGGGCGATTTAAGGCCATCTTAGAACCCAGAGGGTCTCGCACACCCTGAAAGCCCAGAAATCGGCTCTGAGAGCGTTCATGTCCTTATAAGGGTTTGGTAGAACTATCGGTCTACGCCATTCTCCGACGGACCTCAGTTCTCTCGACCCATAGAGACCGGACGTGCTAAACTTTGCAACATCAAGACAGCCAAAACAGGTAACGACTTTTGACACTCCCCAACCCGATAAATGTCGACTCTCCTGTATCTGTGCCACCTCAGGGACACGAATCCTCAGAGTTGGGCGCGGCTCTCACTTTCTTGCTGGAAGGTGGTGTAGTCGCGCTACCTACGGATACTCTGTTTGGCTTGGCTGCCGATGTTACCAATGAACGGGCGTTGGAGCGCATATTTGACATAAAGGGTCGCCCTCCTGAAATGGCACTCCCAGTACTGGTTGCCAATTGGCACCAAGTAAGAGACGTTGCCAGAGTCGAGTCCACGGCAGCCCGAAAGCTGGCTTCAAAGTTTTGGCCCGGCTCCCTTACCTTGGTTCTGCCAAGGCAGCCGAACCTCTCAACGCTGGTAACCGGAGGCCGCGAGAGCGTGGCAGTGCGAATGCCGGATCACTGGGTTCCCTTATGGCTTTCCTCCCAGTTGGGACGTCCCATAACCGGTACCAGCGCCAATCGAAGCGGCCAACCTGACTTGAAGACTTCAAAAGAGGTCAATGACCTCTTGGGCGATGCAGTGGATACAATCATTGCCGCAGGTCCGGCGCCGTTGGGGCTGCAATCTACTATCGTAGATTTGACCGGTCCTATTCCTGTCCTGCTGAGGGATGGCGCAATTCCCTTTGCCCAGGTATCCCAAGCTTGGGAGGAACTCGCTGGCCTACAGGCCGAGACAAAGGGAACAGGGGGATAGCATTTCTTCTCCTGACCGTTTAGAAACCTACCGCCTGGCAACGGAGCAAGAACTTCGCGAGTGCTTTGCAACACGCGAGGGCTTCCTGTATAACCTGCTTCGTTACCACCTCGGCTGGGTTGACCAGCATGGACAACCTGATAATCTTTCAACGCGGGAAAGTTTCCATTCCCTTATTGCGCCGACTATATGTGAAGCCCTCACCGGCCAGTTTGTACCGTCTCTGCCCGTGGCGGCCGCAGCGGACCTGTTGTTGAACTTCTCGGTGGTCCATGGCGACGTTCAGGCAGGCAGGTTAGATGCCGGTTCCAGGCCCAGCATTTTGGTGGGTCTGGGGTCCAGCCCAGGCAATTAACGCCGGTGACGGGTTCCACGCTATGGCCCGTGTGGCGGTGATGCGTCTTCTCGAACAAGGAACACCCGCCGATAATGTCCTTAAAGCGGCGGAAATGTTGGACAAGAGTTGTCTTGCCATGTGCGAAGGTCAGTTCACTGACCTGAGTTTCCAGGACCGAATGCTAGTTACCATGGGCGAGTACGACGAAATGATTGCCCGGAAGACCGGAGCCCTGACCGGGTTCGCCGCAGCAGGAGGGGCGTTGGCTGCTGGGGTCGATGACGCCGTACAAACCAGGATGCGCGAGTTGGGCGTGAAACTGGGCATGGCCTGGCAAATATCCAGGGACATTGCAGACTTTTGGGGGAAAGGCGGCGACGGCGCCACCGCCAGCAACGCCCTCAACAAGAAAAAAGAGCTTGCCCCTTATCTACACACTGGAGAACTGCAGCACTTCGGCCAAGCGCGAGATAGGAACAGCTTACATGAAACGGGTCCTGGAGGGCGGAGACCTCACCAGAGTCATCGAAATCATGGATGAAACCGGAGCAAGAGCCTACTCAGAGTCAAGAGCCAACCAGCTAGTTGACCAGGCTTTGGAGACCCTGAAGCCCGAGCGAATCTCTGATGAACGGCTATTGGGGATTCGCGCCCTGGCTCAGAAGGCGCTTTCTCACAATTCCGAATATTTCGGCACGTAACGACGGGCGAGCAGGAGCACAATCTTACTATGACGAAGCGTACCCTTTCTAACCTGGATGTCGCCAAAAAGCGAGTCCTGGTCAGGGTGGACTTCAATATTCCCATAGAGCAGGGAGTGGAAGTTATTGCCTCCTACGACCAACGCTTGCGGGCCACCTTGCCAACAATCCATTATTTGCTCGAACAGGACTGCCGGGTCATCCTGTGCTCTCATCTTGGGCGCCCCGGTGGGAAAGTTGTCGAAGAATTGCGGTTAGCGCCGGTTGGAGACCGTTTAGCGGAACTCCTCGGGCATCCTGTTAGGAACTTGCTTGACTGCGTGGGACCCGATGTAGCAGCACAAATTGAGGAGTTGGGGCCAGGTCAAATCGCGCTGCTTGAAAATCTGAGATTCCATGCTGGTGAAGAGGCCAACGACCCTGAATTTGCACAGAGTCTGGCCGCTCTGGCCGAATGTTTCGTCATGGATGCTTTCGCGGTAACCCATAGGGCGCATGCGTCGACGGCGGGCATCACAGACTATCTGCCTTCCGCTATGGGCCTCTTGGTTCAGCGCGAGGTGGAACAGATGGGGAAAGCTCTGGAATCTCCGGCCAGTCCCCTGGCGGCGCTGATGGGCGGCGCCAAGGTTAGCGACAAGATCCTCGTCCTGGAAAACCTGCTGGATAAGCTGGACCATCTTTTTATTGGCGGAGGCATGGCGGTTACCTTCCTCAGGGCCCGGGGCTACAAGACCGGGGCTTCTACTGTTGAAGAAGACCGCCTCGACTTTGCGAGGGACGTCATGGAACGCGCGGCAGTAAGAAACATTGGCTTTCACTTGCCCAACGACGTCGTAGTTGCCAGCGCTTTCGGGTCAGACCCCCCCGAAAGCCGCACCGTCCCGGTGGATCAGGTGCCGGATGACTGGTACATTATGGATGTGGGAGCGGCAACCGCAGCCCAATTTTCTGAAGCATTGCAGGCCTGTCGCACCATCATTTGGAATGGGCCAATGGGCGTCTTCGAAATGCCCCGTTTCAGTGAAGGTACTCGTACCGTAGCAAACGCCATTGCCGGTCTCCAGGGAGTCACCACTGTAGTTGGCGGCGGTTCTACAGCGGAGGCCGTTGAGGAGCTTGGCCTGATGGACGCCATGACCCACGTTTCCACCGGCGGAGGCGCTTCCCTTGAATTCCTTGAGGGTAGAGAGTTGCCTGGCATAGCCGCACTGCCGGACGACTAGGCTATGACGATTAGCGTGTTTTCTCCTTCCGTATTTCCACATTACATAGAGGGTAAAGGGCGAGGCCAACATGATTGATTTGGAGCAACTGCACGACTGCTACGTAACCACCTCTTCGAAAATTGTTCTTCTCGTTGTTGACGGGCTGGGTGGGCTGCCCCATCCGGACACAGGACGCTCTGAACTGGAAACGGCGAATCTGCCGAACCTGGATGCCATGGCAAGGGAAAGCGCCTGCGGAGTCACCACTCCTGTTCTCCCCGGAGTGGCGCCGGGCAGCGGCCCGGGTCACTTGGCTTTGTTTGGCTACGACCCTCTTAAGTACATAATCGGCAGAGGCGCCCTGGAGGCCTTGGGAATCGACGTGGAATTGCGTTCCGGTGACGTGGCGGCACGAGGCAACTTTTGTACCGTTGACGGCGACGGTAACCTGGTAGACCGCAGGGCCGGCCGCATTCCCACCGAGTTTAGCGCCCCTTTGTGCAAGCGGTTGGATACGATTGAATTGCCTGGTGTGCAGTTGGATGTCTTTCCCGTCCAGGACTACCGATTTGTACTTCGGCTGCGGGGTGAAGGGCTGTCGGAAGCAATTACTGAGACGGACCCGCAGATTACAGGCGTCCCTGCTCTGCCGGTAAAGTCGCTGGACGCCGCTGCCGAAAAGACGGCAGCCTTGATTAACGATTTTGTTGCTCAGGCAGGCAATCTATTGGCAGAAGAAGAAAGGGGCAACATGGTCTTGCTTCGAGGCTGGGCACAATTACCCTCTCTGCCGCCCATGGGACAGATTTACAGGATAAATCCCGCTGGCATTGCCGCCTATCCCATGTATCGTGGACTGGCCACGGTGGCCAATATGCGTATTATCCCCACGGGTCATACCTTCAGCGATGAAGTGGACACCTTACACGAGGAATTTGAAAACCACGACTTCTTTTTCATTCACTACAAGCCGGCCGACGCCGCGGGGGAAGATGGAGATTTCGAGGCCAAGGTCCAGGCACTGGAAGACCTGGACCCATTGATCCCTCGGATCCGGGAACTGAATCCGGACGTCTTCATGGTGGCCGGCGACCATTCCACGCCAGCAATAATGGCGGCCCACAGTTGGCATCCTGTGCCCTTTATGCTTCACTCCAAGCTTAACCGGGGCGAGGGTGTCCCGGGGTTCGACGAGAGAGCCTGTAACACAGGCTCCATCGGAAGCATACCGGCCACCTACGTGATGCTGCTTGCAATGTCCCACGCAGGCAAGCTAACCAAGTACGGACCGTAACTCGATACACAATACTCGACAGAGGAGAACATTCGAGGATGCCAGCTACCATCGTGGCCGGAAACTGGAAAATGAACACTACCCTTGAGGAAGCCAGAGAATTGGCTGAGGGAGTGCGCAGCCTGGCGGATAACACTGGAGGCGTAGAGACCATACTCTGCCCTCCCGCAATTTCGCTGTCCGCAGTCAAGGAGGCGGTTTCCGGTTCCACCGTCAAGGTAGGGGCCCAGAACATGCACTGGGAGGACTCCGGCGCATTTACAGGTGAAGTATCCCCAGCAATGCTGGTTGGACTCTGCGAATACGTAATCCTGGGCCATTCGGAGCGACGGCAGTTGTTTGGCGAGACTGATGCTCAGATTAATCAGAAGGTGAAGGCTGCCTTTCGGCACGGCCTGAAACCAATTCTTTGCGTCGGCGAGACCCTGGAGGAACGGGAGTCGGGACAAGCAAGGGAAATAATGGCCCGGCAGGTGATGTCTGGGCTGGACGGCACCGTAGGACTTGACATAAATGGCCTGGTAGTGGCCTACGAACCTGTTTGGGCCATCGGTACCGGTCAGGCAGCGACCCCGGACATAGCGGCGGAAATCATGGGAGGCTCCATCCTGGAGGCGCTTCATTCCTTGTTTGGACCCGATGCCGATGACATTCCCCTCCTGTACGGCGGCAGCGTCAACGTCGGCAACATTGCCGACTTCGCCTCCCAATCTTGTATCCATGGAGCTTTGGTTGGGGGAGCAAGCCTTCAAGCAGAATCCTTCATGGAAATTGCCCGACTGGCCGGGGTAGCCAAGTCCGGCAATTCCTAAAACGTGGCAAGTGGTCGCCGCGGCGGTATGCCCGCAAGCGAGCCATCGATAGTTTACGTAGTCGGACCAACGGCAGCGGGCAAGACCCGCCTGGGCATTGAGCTTGCCCAAAGACTGAACGGGAAAATAATCAACGCCGACAGCCGCCAGGTTTACCGGTACATGGATATTGGCACTGCCAAGCCAACCGCAGAAGAGCAACAACTGGCCTCTCACCATCTCCTTGACCTTCATTCTCCCGACCAGAATTTCAGCTTGGGTGTCTTCTTGTCTCTTGCCAAAAAGACTGTTGCCGAGATACAAGGGCAGGGAAAGCTGCCTATAGTAGTCGGTGGGACAGGCCAGTACATTTGGGCCCTGTTGGAAGGTTGGGACGTTCCAGAAGTCCCTCCCGACGAGGAATTCCGAAAGAAGCTTGAGACCGAGGCAGCAGAAATGGGCCACGAAGGGCTGCACCGCCTGCTTCAGTCTATCGACCCTGAAAGAGCTTCGGAACTGGATCCACGCAACATTCGGCGGGTAATACGTGCCCTTGAAATCCATCACTTAACCGGAACCATGCCTTCCTCGTTCGGCAAGGCAACAGGATTGGGACTCCCTGGTCCCATCCTCGGCTTGACTATGGAACGGGAAGACCTCTACGACCGCATTGACCGGCGCGTCGACCAGATGATGCAACAGGGCTTCCTCCAGGAGGCAACGCTCCTGACCGAAATGGGTTTCTGCCTCGGCAAGGGCCCTCTGGCATGCCCTGGGTACCGCGAATTAGGGCTGCACCTGGCCGGTGACATTACGCTTGAAGATGCCGTCCAACGCATCAAGTTCCAGACCCACCGCCTGGCACGGCGCCAATACTCCTGGTTCAAGCTGAGTGACCCGCGAATTTCCTGGCTAAATGGTGCTTCTGAGGACTTGTTCAGCGCGGCTGAACTTCAGACCTACAGCTAGTCGTCTTACAAGTTATCCAGATTCAGAACCTGGTTACTGTGGTAGAATAGCCCCAGCCTGCCAGAAGAGGGTCTGATGAAATTTACCAAGATGCACGGAGCCGGCAACGACTACGTTTACATCGATGCCCGCCAAATGGAAGAAGATTGGCCGGCACTTTCGCGGACCATGAGCGCCAGGCATTTTGGTATTGGTGGAGACGGCATTATTCTTGTACTGGATTCGGAACAGGCCGATCTGCGAATGAGGATGTTCAATGCCGACGGTTCCGAAGGTGAAATGTGCGGAAACGGAATTAGGTGCTTCGCCAAATACGCCATTGAACGCGAAATTGTGGCGCGTCCCGATGAAGGACTGACCGTCGAAACTCTGGCAGGTATTCGGACCGTCTATCCCATTTACGACGATGACGGTGTCGCAGGTGCCCGGGTTTCCATGGGATTCCCCCGCTTGAACCCACAGGACATTCCCGTTAGTCTCGATCCGGCGATGAGTTCCAACGCTGGCCCCGTGCTCAAGTACCCAGTTCAACCCGGTGACTTTCGACTTTTCCTGGCCTTTGTATCCATGGGCAACCCCCACGCCGTCACTTATATTGACCAGCCCATTGGAGAATTTCCGCTCCACAATATAGGCCCCCTGGTTGAGGGCCACCCCATGTTCCCCCGCCGTGTAAACTTCGAAATCGTGAACCAAGTGGATGCTTCACACTTGGATGCCAGAGTCTGGGAACGGGGTTCCGGAGAAACCATGGCCTGCGGCACTGGAGCTTGCGCCATCGCCGTGGCATCAAGGCTACAGGGACTGGTCGAGGACAGGGTTGACATAACCCTTCCGGGGGGAACTCTGACCATCGAGTGGGACGGAGAGGGTGAGGTTTTCTTGGAGGGTCCGGCTACAGAAGTATTTACTGGCGAGTGGTAACATGCAAATATTTTTTATTACCACAGTCCCTTGATTTCTCCCAGGAGTGGCAAAGTGCAATTTTCCAGCAGACTTGGCAAACTGGCTCCCTATCCCTTCGTTGAAATTTCTCGAATTATTGCGGAGAAGCGGGCTGCAGGAGCCGACGTAGTAACCTTTGGCATCGGCGACCCGGACATTCCGACCCCTGAACCCATTGTCGAACGGCTACTAACTGCATCCCAGCATCCACCCAATCACCGCTACCCTGAGACCGACGGCCTGCCGGCGATGCGCCAGGCAATTGCCCAATGGTACGTAAACCGGTTCGGCGTAAAGCTCGATTCGGATAGGGAAGTATTACCCTTGATTGGGGCCAAGGAGGGAATTGGGCACGTCGCCTTTTGCTTCCTCGACCCAGGCGACATTGCCCTGGTGCCCGACCCAGCATACCCGGTATACGGAGTAGGCACCATGTTTGCCGGCGCAGAGAGTTACATAATGCCTCTGCTCGAGGAAAATGCTTGGCTTCCCGACCTTTCCGCCATTCCTGAAGACGTAGCCCGAGCAGCCAAGGTAATGTGGCTTAACTACCCCAATAACCCAACCAGCGCAGTGGCAAGCGCCGAAGATCTGGCTACATACGTCGCTTATTGCCGCGACCACGATATTGCTTTGCTCCACGACGCGGCCTACAGCGAAGTTGGTTACGACGGATACAAGGCCGTCAGCATGCTGGAAATAGATGGTGCAATGGACGTGGGCATCGAGTTCCACTCATTGTCCAAGAGCTACAACATGACTGGCTGGCGGATGGGGATGGCTGTTGGCAATGCCGACATGATCAAAGCCCTGTTCCAAATTAAAGCCAACCTCGATTCTGGCGTTCCCCAGGCCATTCAGGAAATGTCCATGGAAGCCCTCACTGGGCCCCAGGATTGTATTAATGAGAATAGGGTAATATACCAGCGCAGGCGGGATCGGGTAGTAGAAGCTCTTCGGAAAATGGGACTGACCGTTGAGGTACCTCGGGCTAGCCTATATATTTGGGCTCGCGTACCGGAGGGATTCACTTCGGCCGAATTCGCGGCCCGCCTTCTTGAAGACATAGATATCGTGGTAACTCCGGGGTCCAGCTACGGCAAATACGGTGAAGGTTACATAAGACTGTCGTTGACAACACCCGATGAGCGGGTGGAAACGGGTTGCCAGCGCCTTGAATCCTGGGCCATACCGGCACCCAGGGAGGGATAAGCTCATTCCTAAGAAGACTGTCAGCACTGCACCTGGTCGGGAAAAGGCCATTCTGGTAGCGGTGGAACTGAAGAACCGTGATCAGCTATGGGAATTGGACGATACCCTGGATGAATTGGCCTACTTGGCCGACGCCGCCGGGGCGGACGTGGTTGGTCGAGTAACTCAAAAGTCCGACAGGCTCACGCCTACTTACGTAGGAAAGGGCAAGGTGCAGGAAGTTCAGGAGTTGGCAGCCGAAGAAGAGGCCGACACTGTGATTTTCGATGACGAATTGACACCTACCCAGCAGCGCAACCTTGAAGCCGCGTTACAGATAAAGGTCATCGACCGCACCGCCCTTATTCTGGATGTCTTTGGTCGCCACGCCAGAACCCACGAAGGCCAGCTACAGGTCGAACTGGCCCAGCACCAGTATCTTTTACCCAGGTTGGTAGGCCAGTGGTCCCATCTTGAAAGGTTGGGCGGCGGGATTGGCACCAGGGGCCCTGGGGAAACCCAGCTTGAAACAGACCGACGGATGATTCGGCGACACATCCAGAAGATCCAGCAAGAGCTGGACAAGGTAAGGGAGCGGCGTTCCATTTACATCGAACGCCGCAAGAAGGCCAGCATTCCAACTGCTTCCCTGGTCGGATATACCAACGCAGGCAAAAGCACTCTCTTTAATGCTCTGTGTGACGCTAACGTAGAGGCGGAAAACCAGCTGTTCTCCACACTGGATCCAGTCACTCGTCGTATTCGTCTACCCTCCGGGGACGAATTACTGCTGACGGACACGGTGGGATTCATCCAGAAACTTTCTCCCATGGTGGTGGCTGCTTTCCGTGCAACATTGGAAGAGTTGTCCGAGTCGGACATTCTCCTCCACGTCCTTGACATTACCCACCCTAAGGCTCCCGAACAGGCCGAAGTCGTCGAGGAGACGCTGGAGGATCTTGGCTTAAGCAACAAGCCCCGCATTCTCGTGATTAACAAGATGGACCTGCTGGGGGAGCAGGAATCGGCGCAGAAGGTTCTGCCGCCAACTGGCTTACAATCGTATCCCAACGTCCTGGTGTCCGCGGCCAAGGGCTGGAACCTCGACCTGCTGTTGGAAGAAGTGGAGACCCAATTGGTAGAGATGGATGGCCCTCTTACTGTCCTGCAATCGGCTGCGGGGGACTGACCGAGAAGTGCCCTAACGCTGCAGAACATTGCGCGCGAAACATCGACCAAGAATCGGGCGCCAAGGGACGTCTAAGGCGCCCGACAGGTTGGTTCGCACAATAGACGTTATGTAACTCTCCCCTTAGATTTTCCTCTCTCTTTCCTTAACATAACACTTTCTCACTCCGGTCACTATTGTCGGGCTTCGTTGTGAGACTCTCCCCAGTTCTATAACATCACTGGGAACCAACTCCGAGGAGGTTAATCATGCGCGTTGATGGCAAGGTGGCCTTGGTCAGTGGTGGTGCGCGGGGGATTGGAGCCGCCACCGCCAAACTACTGGCCAGGGAGGGGGCGGCAGTGGTATTGGCCGACGTCCTTGAGGAAGAAGGTAAAGCGACGGAAGCCGAAATCTCCGAGACTGGTGGCAGAGCAACCTTTCTGATATTGGACGTTACCGACGAAGAGAACTGGCAGCATGTAATTGATGCGACCGTCGCCACTTATGGAAAGCTTGACGTGGTTGTAAACAACGCCGGTATCAGCGGTCGGACCACTGTGGAGGAGACCGAGGCCGAAACCTGGGACCGCGTGATGGCAGTAAACGGCAAGGGCGTGTTCCTGGGAACCAAGCTGGCCATTCCTGAACTTCGCAAGTCTGGTGGCGGATCCATCATCAACATTTCATCTATATACGGAATTGTTGGCAGTGAAACTTCGGCTGCCTACCACGCTTCCAAAGGGGGCGGTTCGTATTTTCACCAAAGCCGCCGCCATTCAATACGCTTCTGAAGGGATCCGGGTAAACTCAGTACATCCCGGGTTTGTGGACAGTCCAATGACCGCCGCATCCCATGCTTTGCCTGACGTCCATGATTTGAGGGTCGGAAGGACTCCGCTGGGAAGGATGGGGACTCCGGAGGATATTGCCGCCGGTATTCTCTATTTGGCCTCCGACGAGTCCTCCTTCGTAACCGGTAGCGAATTAGTGATAGACGGGGGAATGACGGCACAGTAGGCTTGCCAATGGTCCTTCAACCTTGTGTGGGGATTGCCAACCAACGCAAGAAACTCGCCAAGGCAATGGCCGTTAGGGTTGCGCTGTTGGCCCACTTTCCCTATAATTGCCTGCCTAGCGGAACCGGAAGGGCGGTTAGCTCAGTGGTTAGAGCGCCTCGTTCACACCGAGGAGGTCGGAGGTTCCAATCCTCCATCGCCCACCACCTGAGCCATCCTTGGTGACCTTGGACTGGTTCCACTATGCCGTGCCGAGGTGGCGAAACGGCAGACGCGCTGCGTTCAGGGCGCAGTGTCCTTATGGACGTGTGGGTTCAAATCCCTCCCTCGGCACCAACACTGGTCAATGGTGACCAAAGTACGTTTACGCGCTTGTAGCTCAGCGGATAGAGCGCTGCCCTGCGGAGGCAGAGGTCGTGGGTTCGAATCCCGGCAAGCGCACCACTTTACTCCAAAGCCTTATGTGAACTGGCACACTTAGATAATCCGGTTCCCGCTTTTCGGGCGGTTAGCTCAGTTGGTTAGAGCGCCTGCTTTACACGCAGGAGGTCACTGGTTCGAGTCCAGTACTGCCCACCACTGAACACTTCGTCCTTCGCAACTCTTCCACATCTGTTCCAGGCACGTCCTGACGCTTTCCTTCGCCAAGTGCACGTCACCCGTCAGTTTATGGCCCCTGTGATACAATATGCAGAAAGGGAAGCACTTCCCATCTCACCATTTATTCGTTTATTTGGAAGCAATTCTCATTACTTCGGCTGAATGTGGAATCCACTACTTGTTGCTCGGAAACGGAGCAACAGGCAAGCGAGATAATTCAAGCGAGAGGTGTGTGTTCTAGATGTTGAAATTCGTAGAGGAGATAATTCTGCTATTGCTCCGCGACGAGGACGGCAGGTTTATCCAGATTCCAACCTGGTCCATGGACTACGCCATTGCGGGGGCCGTCCTAATGGATTTGGCTATGGAAAATCGCATTGATACCGATTTGCATAACTTGATCCTGATTGACAACACGCCAGTCGGTGACTCTATCCTCGATCCAGTGTTGTCGGAAATATCCGCCGGTGACAACCACGACACTCGTCATTGGGTAGATTACGTGTCCCAGTCAGGTACCAGCATTCGAGAGCAGGTGTTGGCGAGGCTGGTAGTCAAGGGAATTCTTGAAAACCAGGACGATCGCTTCCTCTGGGTTTTCCGGGCCAGGCGCTATCCCTCCGTCGATGGGACCGTCGAGAGAGAGGTCAAGCTTCGTATTTTGAACGTCTTGTTCAGCTGATGAAAGATTCTGATCCACGGGATCCAGACCATGATGATAAGTTGCCTGTGCAGATGCTGTGGAATTTTCCCCGCTGCTATCTCTCCAGCCAGAACATGCCAGGGCGCGGACCGGATTGCGCAGGTGAGCAAGTTAGACCTCATTGGCTAAGCGCCATGCTCCCAGCTACTACACGATATACAGGTGTGTCGAGTCGCGTAAGCCGTATCGTGCAAGGGCATAACTGATTTAGCGACACGTCAGTAGAATTCTCAGCCGCGCATGACATCCGCGGCTTTTAAAACCAAATTTAGGCCAAATTCGTAAACGTGCAGGACGTGGGTAGCAGTGGCACGTCCTTCCCGTAAGAGGGAACATATCCAGTCGATGGATCCCTGATTGATGCCGGATGCGCTTACGCGTCACTCTTCATTTACGTCTCATGACTCATGCTCCTCCTCCTTCTCGTTTTGTCAAATTGATTTATCGCTTTACCGCATCACGCATCTTTCTCTTTGTAGCCCCCTACGCGCACTCTCTTCTACTCGACTAATATTTTTTCCTTTTGCGTCTGTTCTCCTCTCTGCTTCTTGCGGTTGAAGACAAAAAGAAGGGCAAATGCTCTTCATTTTGACAGTCCGAAGCCATTCATCCTACGCTTTACACTGTTAGCCACTTTTTTCTGAATGCCGAGTACCCTATCATAACGAAACATGCTTTGTGTCCACTAAATTAGGAGTTGCCTTATGTCAACCCGATATTGGAAAGAATCGGACGATCTCCGTCGGATCTTGATGGGCGATCGCTCAGAACTCGACCAGTGGCCCCCAGGAAATTCGGGAAACAATAATTTCGGTAATTAACGAAACGAGGGGAGGCCACCTGGCCTCCAATTTGGGGTGTAGAACGGACACTGGCCCTTCACGCGTCTTTGACAGGACCAAGGGACCGATTGTTGGGACACCACAAACCAGATGTATAGCCACAAGCTGGTTAAACGGGTCGTCGACGATATGAATTCAAAGACATTCGGTAGACGGGGGCCTTTCGGATTCGGAGTTCGAGAGCCGTCGGAAAGCCACACGATACTCTTTGCGCCGGTCACGCTGGGCAACGGGCCTTTCCATTGCACTGGGGATAGGCATCAGTCGTCCCACGTGCTCAGGCACTCATGGACCTATAGCAGTGGGGCGACGGCGATGACCTCAGGCTAGCTTTGAGCCTGAATAAATAGTCCACCCCGACCCAGAAGCTGCTTGTTCGTCCTGACGACAACGGCATGTCCATATCGGAAAATATAGGATTCCTGACAATGGCGAAAGCGGGGTGATAACCACACATGAATACCAGGCATGCTGGCGCATGTAGGGCCGCTACAAAACGGGTTCAGGGCGAAAGGAATTACCGCCTGGTCAAGCGTTTCCATGACAGTTGGGACAGCTTCATTCTGCCAACCGTGCTTTTGGGACGGAATGGGGTTTCAATATCTTGGCCAGTAACGGGAATGACTTAAGGCACGTGGAACAGACCCTCGAGAAAGCCAAGTAACCGGCGGGACGGTGCCCGTAATCCATGTAGTTTACGCAAAAGGTCACAGGTTTTATGAACCCGATGAGGACGATCCGGTCAAGTTCCACAGCCCAGTTCTCCTTTGGGAGTAAGTCCGGAGCCCCGACCTTCGAAGGTTTTTGGCCGGATACCATCAAGAAACTTATGGCCGAAGCCGGAGAACGTGTAGGGTTTCAGCGGCCATGCGTGAGGGTACGGGACTGGAAGGGTTAGGCCAACAATTCCCGACCGGCTTTGCCGTGGGAATTGCAGAAGAACAACATGCGGTAAGCATGGCAGGGGACATG